AGTTAGTATTTTTCACATACACTTCAAGTCATATTATTTTAATCAAAGCAATGAGACATTCCAGTTAGTGCTGAAGTCTCCTTTGTTTCCCTTCCCTCCCTCTCCTCTGAGACCACCGCTGTCACAAATTGAGCACATACACTTCCAGAATATTTAAGAATATTTAACAATCATGTACATTTCGTGGAGAATGTGTAGCTTTGAGTGTGCCATCCCACATTTGCTCGGGGTCCTGGACCTCGATTCTCAGTGCAGCCTCTGTGTTAGGATCCGTCTCCCCGGACTCACCTCTCTGTGGAGGAGCACCTGCCATGCAGGTCCCCACAGGAGAGGACATAAAGACATGCTAGTGGGGCTGTGTGAGGGCCTGGGTTTCATCTCCAGCACCATTGAGGAAAAGAAAAAAAGACATACTGGTGCTCCCCAGCAGACACTGTGCTTTCCCCATGAGCAGTGTTCCTGTGTGTCTTGGGGAATCCATCTGACCCTGTGCAGTAAGAGCCGTCACTGTAGTCTCCCCAGGAACCATACAGGAAATGAGACTCCAGGGGCCAGTCACTGGCCTGTGGTTGGCTTGTGATCCACTTGTGTGGGGTCCCCATGGTTCTGGCCACTGTCATCCCCAACCCTGGAGTTGTGACCCACCTGTGAGTGAGGCATCACTAATACTCTAGGGCCCAGGAGAATAAAACCCAGGGGATGGGGATGGGGCTCAGGCTCGGTGGCAGAGCTCTTGCCTAGCACGCGTGAGGCACTAGGTTTGATCCTCAGCACCACATAAAAATAAATACATAAAAGGTATTGTGTCTATATACAACCAAAAAAATGTTAAAAAAAAAAAAAAAAACAACCCAGGGGACAGTGAGTAGTCAGTGGCCCCCAACTCCCAGCCACATTATCTGAAAGTTCTTCATTGTTCTTTGGTGGAAAGAACACAAACTAACAGACACTGAATCCTGCTTCTGTCTCGACTGTACACCTGGCTGCTCTGGGATGCTGCGCAGATGGCCCATCTTCTCTGCCTGGTGCCTCACCTCTGGGCGGGGCTCCTGCTGGCTGCCCACCTACCCTACAGCTTGTCTAGGGACCCAGACGTGGTCTGCGTGGTCTGACTCGCTGGGCCCCTTCCCTCACCTTCAGCAGCCACCTGCTGTGTTCCCACTGTGTCCCCGTGACTTTACGTGCATGACAGCATTTAATCCTCATTCCTCAATCAGGGGCTTTGAGAAGATTGCTTTCAATCCCTTGTTTTTCTGATGTGCTTGATTACTACTATGGCAACAACATAATTTTATTTTCTTTTTTTAAACTTGATATATATAATATTTCAGCCTTATTATGTGTTAAATTGAGATTTGTGGGTGGGCCTGGGAACCCCATCAAAATTTATAGCTCTATTTCTTTGGAAAAATTGCTTTCAGGCATCACACAACCAATTACAAGGGAAGTTTGGAACTCCACCAGTTAGTAAGTTGGGTCCACTGTCCTGTTTGCATTGTTCCCTAATTAGTTTGTGGAAGGATAGTTAATCTCCCTGGTGAGACAATAAATTTCTTAAGGGCAGGCAGTACATCTTGCACGGATCCCCCATCACACCCAGCAGGTGCCAAGCTCAAGAATATATCAACACATTCTTGTTTCTCCAAATTTCTCCAAAACCCAACTGCCTGTCTGCCTCAAAGAAATGGGTGCTGATGGCAGTCACCTGGGGTGCCCCTGGTGGTCATTGACTCATATACTGTCAAACTTGATGACTCCTAAATGAGGCCCAGGTTCGTCTGTTCCAGGTTCATTAATTTTTTCTAGAACTTAGTGTGTGTTAACACTGTTCTGGGTGTTTTACATTTGTTAATGTATTTAACCTTCATAAAAATATTTTAAGGGGCTAGGGGCAGTAACTGAGTGGCAGAGTGCTTGCCTAGCATGTGTGAGGCACTGGTTCAATCCTCAGCACCACATTAAAAACAAAACAAAAAAATCATAAATTAATTTAAAAAAAGATATTGTGTGTTCCTCTACAAATAAAAAAAAATTAAAAGAAATATTTTATTTTCAGTATTCTCATTCTACAGATGACCAGAGAGGTTAAGCAATTTGCCTAAGGTCATAGAACTGTTGAAAGTTTAAACTGAGATTCAAACTCAGGCAGCCTGGCTCCAGGACCCGAGCTCTCAACCATTGCACCCTTGTCTGTGAAAGACTAGGATAAAACCTTTCCTGTCACCTGGAAATGCTCTCCATAAGGGCACAGCACTGCATTTTCACCAGCTTCATACCGTGTGATCTGTGTCAAATCCTTGGGCAACAGACAAGGTAGATACATTTTTTAGCACATACTAAATATTCTACCAAATTCAAACAGTATGGAAAAGTCAAAAAAATAAAGTAAATGATTCTCAAAGTTCTTCCATCAAAGTTAAGATCTTGGTTGACATATTGGATTCTATGGACGCTCCTCCATGAGTACACGTGTACGTTGGGTGACATGGGAACTCCTTCCAGATGCATTGACAAGTGAGGAAACCACACCTTAGGAAATTGTATGCTTTGTCCTCTACAGAGCTAACAGGTTCAGGGTTGGGACTTTGGTCCTGTTTGGAATTTTCAGTTTATGGTAAACTCTGAAAGTAAAGCGCACATTTATCTTTTGACCCCGTTCCTCCTATTTAGACACTTTCCTCCCAGGATCCAGTCCTAGTGCTGAGCTGAGAGGGCTGCCACAGCCAAGGCTGTGTTAACTTTCCTGGAAATTGTGCCTACTGAAGAAGAGACTCCGGGTGCGTGGTGGGTTGGGATACTTATGCAGATGTCAGTAAAGCTCACTAAAAGCCGCTGTTGAGCTTCTACTTGGACCAAGTCCCCTGGCCCTGTGAAATCTCAGCTGAGGTGGTGTCCTTTGAGGAAGCACAGTGATTACAAATGCAGCTCAGTTGTGGTGATGCTGTTCCAAAGCCACCTTGTCTTTTCCTGTTGAGCAGCATCTCCAGTTGTCTTAAAGAAGTCCAGGGGAAATGGAATCTAGTGGCTGGGGAGAGAGGCGCTCATTACCTCCCCCCAGCCAGCTTCCTTCCTGCAGATACTTTGGTCTTAGGATTGGTATCTACTTCTGCTGAAAATGAAATCATATATTCAACTCTCAGGCTGTGTTAGTGAAAATGAACTCTAATGTGATTAGATATTAATGCAGCGTAATGGAGGATCGGTAGTAAATTGAGACCTTCTGATCTTATTACTCCACAAATGCTCCCTCCTACTCAGGCTGCTGCCCTGCCCAGAGCCCTGAACCCCAGCAAGCCTGGGGCAGGGAGAAAAGAGCTGCGGGAGGGGAGAAGGTGAGAAGCGGGGGCTGGGAGCCAGGCTGCTCTGAGGCCCTAACCACGACAGCCAGCCTCACTTCTCCCTGAGCCCCTTCCTCTCTGCACTGCACAGGGGGAGGGCGGCCCCACCTGTGGAGGACCTAGAGTTCCCAAATGTAAAGTCTTACCTTAAATCCTGCATCACTAGGAGATAGACAGGCATAGGGCTGGAAAGCCAAGAACAAGATCTCCATGCGGTCTACTCTGCTCCTACCCGCCACCCCATGATCCTCTCGTGAAATGATGACTTAAACCCAGTAACAGTGGCTGTAACTTGTGTTGGTTGTTCCCTTTCCTGGTCTGGGAGGCAGGTGGGTGCCATCAGCTTCCTTTAGGGAGAGGGATGGGACACTTAGTTCAAAGTGGCAGCCAGGCCTGTGGAACCCCAGGACCTCGCACACCTCCCGGCCCGCAGGCTTGTCAGAGTCTCCTGCCAAGAAATGGGCAAGAACGCAAGCTCTGGGGATGTCAGGTGGCATCACCTTCGTGTATGAATAATGGTGTTTTCACAAGGAGAGCGATTTTTCTTACTCTGTTTTTAGAAAACTGCTTTCAGAGGCGCAGCCTTTGCACACAGGATGGTAACGACTTTTTAATGACCTTAAGAGGACTGGTGTCCAGGCAGCAGTGAATCAATCTCAGTGGGAGGCTGGTAGTGAGAGGGAAGATGGAACACCTGAAACAAGAGGGGAAAACAAACTGCAAATACATATATTTCCTTTGCTAGCGTTCCTTGGTAATTAGACAATTACAGGAAACAGCTTCGCGGCAGCTGGCATTTCCACTGTGTGAATGGAGGAGGGATGGCAACGACTGTGAACTCCTCACGTTTATTATAGAAAATATTATTAGAGTTTACGGTCGTGGGTGCCTCGTGTTCCTCCAGCGCATTCTGATGAGCTGCTGGGCACTAGCCAGAGCCAAGTTCCTCCTCTCCGAGTTTGTTTGGGGCCTGCTCTGCTAGCTTTTAAAGGAGTGGCCCTGCCCAGGCTGATCAGAGCAGAGTTGCCTTTAAAATACTGGGTTTGCTTCTGAGAGCTCCCAGAGCCAGGCCAGGCTTTGGAAATGGGAAAGCTGCAGGCCTGGGGAGCCCCGCCTTCCCCCAGGTGCCCTCTATGGCACCATAGTGAGTGGTCTGCTGCTCCAAGCCCAAGTTCTGGGCTTGCCCACCCCTGCTCTGCTGCCCTGCTGTGAAACTCTCCTCCTGGAACCTTGAGGACCTGCCCCCCCACACACACATCCGATGAGTTGCCCTGGTCATTCTGCCCACAGCCCTCTGGGTCACCATCCCATCCTATTTTATGGATGAGGAAATGTATTTTATGAGCTCCCGTCACCCTAATTGTGTTTATATTTTGCTACACTCTTGTCCCATCAGACATGGCCTACACTTGGTGTTCATTTTTAGAGGGCTTTATAAAAATCCTAAGTGCCAATCTCAGGATATGGGGTGCCCTCTTTGATGAGATGTTGGTCTGAGTGGGGCACTGTATGTTCCTGCCTCTCGACTGCCACCCTTCCTACAACCCCCACCCTTCCTACTGCACAAGCACCCAGGCTGGGAGGCCCCCCTCATGGACAGGGCCACCAGCATGGGTCAGTTGCACCGTGTAACCAGGCCAACGGTTGTGTTTGCTCTCGCAGGTCCTGGCAGTCGGTGACTTTTGAAAGGCAGCCTGCCTCCTTCATCCGAATCGTTGGAACACACAACACAGCAAATGAGGTAAGGGCCTCTTTCCATGAGCAGCGCCGTGCCCTCTTGTGATGTCCGGTAAGTGGTGCACCGAGCTGAGGGGAACCATTGGCTTTGCCTGCTAATGGCCTGCTGTCCCCACAGCTCGGTGCAGAAGAAAGCCCCGCTCTGGCCCACGGGGCTGTTGTGATCGCGCCTAGCTGTGCCTTCACTAGCAAACGAAGCCAGCACCTCCTGCTCTGCTTATTCCTCCTGCCCCCTTGCAGAACCCACCATCACAGAGCCCTGGAGAGGTCAGGCGGCCTGTCCCTCCTCTCAGAGTCCTCAGCCCTGCAGATGACGGGGTTCGTAGGGGCCCTTAGCACTCTTGAGTGTGGTGTCCAGAATATGGATGTGCTGTTCGCATCATGTGCTTATTTCTCACTTTGAAGTCCTCGTCCCACATGTGGTGTGCCCCACTGAAGGGACTGCTGGTCAAAGACGTGACATGTAAGGGGTAGCAATGTGGAAATTCAGGAGGTAAATGAGAAAGAAGCACGAAAGTGGGAATGATCCTAGTTTCCCTCTATTGTGCAGCTTTCTCAGTCTCAGTTCTGGTGGCTTCGTGGGTGTCCACCAGAGCAGTGGCCTGGGGCCCCATGCCTGGGCCTGGTGCTCTGCAGCACCACCTTAAAGTCTTCGTTGTTTTGACCTTTGAGTCCTGTTTTGTGGAGCCCTAGAGGTCAGAGGAGCGAGCGCCCAGGGCTCTCCTACTCCACCTCCTGCCACTTCTCGCCTTCCCAGGCCTGGCTCTCAGCCACAAGCTCCCTGGGCCCTGGCATGGGTGCTGGAGGGCTGGGGTCTGGTGATTCCTAGTGCTAGTCACTGGATAGGGCCCTGGACACCACGAGGGGCTGCGATGGTCTGAGGGCGTTCCCGTGGAGCAAGTAGCAAATACAAGGATGGCAGGGTAATCGAGGCTGGAAGAGGGTGGTCACTTTTCCTGCCTTTTGAACACAAGGCTCTACATTTTCTTCTTGCAACTGGCCCTGCCTGTTTACAGAGCTGGCCTAGCTCATGCATTGTGTTTGTGGAATCAGGATTTTCCCAGAGCTTATTTACAGGCTCCTCTCTGCAGGAAACACACTGTGGCTATGGATCATTTTTATTAAAAAAAAGTGGGGGGGGGGCACCAAAATTAACCTAAACTATTGCATTATATTTATTTATTTATTTATTTGGGTACTGGGGTTTAAACCCAGGAGCTCTTAACCATTGAGCTATATACCTCCCCAGTCCTTTTTATTTTTTTATTTTGAGACACAGTCTAGCTAAGTAGCCAAAGCTGGCCTCAGAACTTGCAATCCTCCTGACTAAGCCTCCTGAGTTTCTTGGAGTACAGGACACGTTTCCTACAGTTAAAATATACTGGCTTTTAAGAATGCTTTGAAGTGCCAGACACACCTCAGGTTTTTTCTCTTTAAAACAAACCTGAAAATTATAGTAGTAAACTAATTGTTATTTTTAAAAGCAAAAATCAAAAATTCTAAACATCAAGTCATAAAAGCACTTTTTCTTACTTTGTGATGTAACAAAAGTAAATTTTTAATCTACATTTTAATATAAATTTGATTCCTAACCAATAATATTGTAATAATTCTGCCAATAAATTTCCAGTTTTTCTTACTATTTAAGCTACATTAATTATGTGTTACTTACTAAATTTGAGAAAAACTGAAATTTATTTTTACAGGTAACATATTGAACTATTAAAATTAAAATTAAATATTTTTCATTTGCAATCTTTACTTTTAGTATAATACACTTTATAATACACATAATTCACTTTATGGCCTAGCCAGGGCCTCTTCCAGGCCTGAACTCAGTCCCAGCCTCATCACCTCTGGGACCAAAGGAATGAAAAAAGAACCTTGAACATTTTATTTCAAAGCTGTTCTTGATGGAGAATATCTTCCTAGACAAGGCTCTAAAGTTGGCATGCAAAACCTCTTTTCCATGAGGAATTTCCCAAAAATATCCAGGACCCTGGTCCCTTGGGTGAAGATGATGCCAATCAGTTTACATGGCTGGCCAGCAGGCACTAGTGACATGACGGTCCGTCTCATAAGGCTGATGAGTAACTTGCTCATTGCCTTATTGAATCAGTTATTGATCAGGAAAATAAAGCCTCAACATGGTGTTTCCAACTGGAAATCATAAAATAAATGGTGAACAGGACCATAAGAGAAGATCCATAAGCTGCACCATCCTCAGAGCACACAGGAGGACACAAGGTCCACACCGTCCTCAGAGTACACAGGAGGACATGATAAAGTTGGTTTCCCAGGGTGTCAGGGATGTAGCTATCTGTAGCTGTTCCGAGGTTCTGGGACATCCTTTGGAAGAAGCAGTGTCACCTGCCTTAGAGAAGCAGCAGCCCAGAGGTAGAAGGGATGGGCTGCTTCCTGCGAAGGAGGATGCGTCCGGCAGGCTGGGCAGGACTCCTGGGAAACAGTGCTAGAGGAAAACTGAGATGCCCAACAGGAAGGTGCTCACTGCCGCATGGGCACAGCCAGGGAAAGGACACTAGGGTGTGAGTCCAGTACAGTCCCGATGTGTAGTTCCATGGGAGCAGAACTGTGCGATCAGAAATAGGGGTCCAAGCACCTCTTTCTCACTGCGGGGGGTGGCCTGGAGGGCAGGGTTGCGGGCTTTCCGCAGTCTGCCTCCACTTGGTTGCCAGGCGATGCCAGTGGCTCTTAGCCCGGGCCGCGGGAGCAGAACACGTCAGCGGGGCCTGAGCAGCAGATGTTCGTTTCTCCCAGCTCCACCGGCTGGAAGTGTGAGGTCAGAGTGTCGGCAAGGTCTGGCACTTCAAGGGGGTCCTCTTCCTGTCCCCACCCTCACTGGCCTTCCTTGGCGAAGGTACTCAAGAGTATGATGAACTCCCACCGCCCTTTTCCTTCATGTAAGGACACTGGTTCCATCAAGGGGCTCCACCCTCGTCATCTCATCTAAACCTGACCACCCCAAAGTTTCTGCCTTCTACTACCAGTCCACTGGGGATTAGGGTTTCAGCGGTGTGTCTGGGGGACCCAGAAACGCAGTCAGTTGTCGCGGCTGTCATTTCAGGCAGAGCCAGGACTTGTTCCCTTTTAGCTACTGGGTGTTTGTAAACCCAGAGGCTTCGTGCAAATTGCCAGGAATATAGAGGGAGTTGAGAGGTGAAACTGTGTGTAAAAGACGAGCCGTTTGCCACGTCCCCAGGTATGTCTGCTTGCTGCAGACACTGTAGTGGTGGGGTGGTGCGGGGAGCCCTGCGTGGAGTGCTTCTGGGAGTGGAAGAGCTTTCAAGGAGGTGGGAGCTGTTTCCACAAAAGGTAGAAAGTGGCCCAGAGAGAGTGTCAATGGCCAGAGCTGCCTGCTCTTCAGAGAGACCATGGCCAGGAGCCCAGGGAGTTGACCGCCGTGACCTCCCGCCATCCGGGTGCTATTGGAGTAGCAGAGGGCACATGCCCAGCCATGAGTGGAACCGCCTTCCGAGCCCAGACGGCTTGGGCTCTTGCCCACCATGGATCGCGCCCGTCTTGCTCTGGTGGGCCAGGCCTCCTGCCTCCAGAGGGGCTGGCATCTGTGGGCTCCACGGTTTTCCCCTTTTCCCTTCATCAGCTGGCTCTTGGGCATCAGCAAGCGGCCTGGCGGGCTGTGGAGGCCCAGGCTTCTCCATCACCTGTTCCGCAGGCTCTGATTCCTGCAGCTTCCTGGCCTCTCCTCTGGGAAGCGCGCGTCTGCTGCTGGCATCTGTCTCTCATCTTCTGTCGTGAGCACCACAGCAATGAGTTCATTAGGTTTTTTAGCTTCGTTTATGACTTCTGTCAATAGAGTCCCTAATGCTGGCCTCTGAAGACGCCCACCCCCCTGCTCCCATGTGCTTGGCGCTGCCCTCGTCATTTACTCAGCTCTCACACCTCTTGCCTGTCATTTCCCGCCAGTGTGTCTTCCTGTCCCTTTGCCCTGCAGTCTCCTGCATGGGGCTGGTTCTCATGTGCCTGCTGCTCCTCTCTTTGGCCTTGCATGGTCTCTCCACATCTTCTCTGCCCACTCTCAGGGCTGCCCTTGTCTCCCCTGTGCCTGGCACTAGATGGCAGACCTGTCAGCTTGTCCTCGAGCTCATCCACGGTCCCCTTCAGTTGGTCACCTGATTCCCCAGTGCCTGCTGCTACCAAGCTCACTCCTGGCTATTCCTTGGCCACTTTTTGGTGGTCTCAGTGGCTACTTCAGCAAGCTTGTGTGCATTCGTGGTCATCCCCTTGCCTCCGTGGCTGATTGTCTCTGAGCTGCCTGTGGGAGGCAGACATCACTCCCCTTCCTAAACCTCTCTTGTCTGGAAAAGGTCAGACACTGGGCCTTGTCACTTTCCCTGCAGCATCAGGGCAGACCTCAGTTCCAGCTGGCAAGTGCGACAGAGCAGGCCTGGCATCTCCCATCATCCACTCCCCCTCATCTGGTGACCTTAGCACATAACGGAGGTGCACACCTGCATCCTCGAATCCACGGAATTCAAACAAGATCCAGTCTGGGGCCTTGTGAAGATGGTCAGTGGTATTAAAAGTGATAGAAGTGGTGTCTGTTTCTTGTTATGGCTTTATGAAGCCCTGAGTTTGAGAGAAAGTTTCGGAGTGATTTTTCAGTAGACAGGGAGCTGAGGGTTGACAGGACCACAGGAAGAGCGAGCTCTGTGGCACAGAAACGGGCTCCTGCCACAGGACCGCGGGAAGGCGTCCGCCAAGTCAGTAGCAGAAACTGAGGAAGGCATTGATGGGTTGCACCGGCTCTCTCAGTTCCCCTGTGCTCATTGGACTCATGTGGCAAGAGGAAAGCTGTGTCAAGGTCACCTTTGCATCTTCCACAGCTAGCATGGTGCCCGGCATGTGTAAGAGTAGAGTACCTGTGAGCCACGCAAACGGAATAATCTGTTCAGCCATCTCTGCTCCGCCCAGTCAGTCAAACAGGAATAAAGGGAAAGATTTAGTAAAATAACTAGTCGTTAC